ATGTTTCAGGTATGACTTTTTCAGGCATTCCAGACATGCAAACTCTAACCTTGTGCATGTTTATGCCTATGTCAAATGAGAATGTTTGCAAAAAATTTAAATGGTTGAAATCTCGGAAAGAGGAAAGTGTCATATTTGAAACATTAAAAAATCCTACGCAACCTTTTTCACCTTCGTCATTGCTTTAATATAGTTAAACGTCTAAGAAATAGCTATATACAATAGTACTGTTTTAGTGACGTCTAATTGTTGGTTTTAGTGACGTCTAATTGTTGGTTTTAGTGACGTCTAATTGTTGGTTTTAGTGACGTCTAATTGTTGGTTTTAGTGACGTCTAATTGTTAATTTTAGTGACGTCTAATTGTTGGTTTGTCCGAATATCAATCCGAAAATAAAAAACGTTTCTGAAAAAAGTTCTATTTTTAGAACACAAACGGTACGTCAAATAACGCTATTGTCAAATAACTTTTTCTTGAAACAGTTTGTAAGTAAACATATAATACATAAAAAACTACAATATAGTTGTTTAAAAAAAAATTTGACCATGCTAAACCTCGATTAAAAACAAAACAAAACCTAAACAAGCTGTTTTAATTAATTTAATTAACGTTAATATGAATAGAAAAACTAAGCTACTCAAACTATGCACAGAATTCGGACCATTTTATTAAAAATGTCTTGTATAAACATTATTACTTGTATTGAAACGTAACTTAAAAAAATAAACCAACTCAAACTTTCAGACAATCTTCAAGAACAATGCCAAAAAACAAATTAAAAAATAAAACAAGTCATCGTGACTCAATACCCTAGCTAACAAGTGAAAACCCAATCAATACCTTAGATAAAAAATATTACAAACAATTGTGTAAATAAAAAAATTAAAAAAATAAAACAAGCTTGGCATATTTTAAACACGAAATCTTATAAAAGCAGATTGTATTCTGCTCCTTATGGTTTAAAGAAAAAATATCAAACATTTTTATTGTTATTATAAATACACGACAAACATAACAACAAAATTATTTTTTGATTATATTTATACCAAATAATATATCTAGGTAAAATAATATCGCAAAATGCCGCTTAAAAATACTACGAAATAAAACTATAATAATCTAACTACTTGAAATCATGAAAAAACGTTTCAGCTTACATGTATTCTGGTTAAAGAAATTCTATTTATATTTTTAATTTTTTATTGATTTAATTTTCAAAAATATAGAATATCTTTAAAAAAATTATATAAAAAATAAATTTTTCTAAAATTCTTTTAAAAGCTTTTTAGTAGCGCGTAAGACGGATTTGATTTATTGATTTTGTTAAGCGCTTCATAAAAATGTTTTTCTACTGAATTTAAAAAGTAAGTTATAAGAAAAAAGGTCGCGGAGAAAACATAAGCAATAAAAATCTATTTATATGCCGTTTCCTAATGTTTTTATTTTTTAAATCGCTTTATCTTTAAACTCAAAAATGTGGAGATAGTGAAAATGTGGAAAATGAGAATTTTAAACTTGCAATTTGTGTAAACTTGCTGTTACGTATCTCCTGCAAACAATATTCAATTCAGAAGTTGCTGTTAAAGTGAATACAAAAGTTATTGGAAAAAAATAGAAAATATTTTTAGTTTACTACTAAAACAATATTTTGTACGCGTACTACATAAAACAATATTTTGTACGCGTACTACACAAAACAATATTTTGAACGCGTACTACATAAAACAATATTTTGTACGCGTACTACACAAAACAATATTTTGTACGCATAGTTAGAGGTTAAAGCCATGCTTAGAATATACAACTTGCTGGCTAGCAGATATAAATAGTTGCTAAAAGCTAAGTGACTGTCAACTAGCTGATACTGGCTAACCATTAAAGTTGGTGGCTTCTAGTTGAACATATTGCTCGAACTAAGGAATGTGATATTTTTGATAAAAACAAAAAAGTTTAACTCAATGTTAAGACGAAAATATCTTTTTTTTAAATAAAAATAAATTAAAAATCAAATAGTACTAATATTGTCTTGAATAAAAAGAGTCATGTTGGAAGAACTTCAATTACTTCTTTTTGAGTTCAGAATTAATCCAGTTGTTGAAAACATTGATTCCACTGATAAACTGGAAGTTGGAATGCTAAAATATTTCTTTTCAAGTACTGCTAAATGTGGATACTTGGTTTGATAATTTTGCCAAAACGATAAACAATCCTGTTCTTCATATGTCGTACACCGTTAAAAAAGTAGCGCGTTTTTTACGGAAAAGTTCCGGCAGTTGCCGATGACCAAACTACCCGTTATTTTACGGAAAAATCCATCGTATACAAACGGAAGTTTCCATTAACAAACGGATTTTTTCCGTTAAAATACAATGGGTTTTTTCCGTTAAACAACGGGTAGTTTGGTCATCGGCAGCTGCCGGAACTTTTCTGTTAATAAACGGATACTTCCGTTTAAATTAAACAAGTTTTTCCCGTTAAACAACGGAAAGGCAACTAAGCTGCCGGATAGATTCCGTAAATAAAGTTTGAATTATTTCTAGCAAATCTTATATATATAAAATCAATGGCATGTTTTTGAAAATATTTTCTGAAAACAAATTTTCTTTGATTTACATAAAAAATATTAAAATTTCTGTGATTTACATTTCACTTCAACAGCAAATACACAAATAAATAAAAATTAGTAAAGTAATAAACACTTTCTAAAAGATTATTAACAATTTGATAAAGTATATACAAGTAAATAATAATATAATTATATTATTATATACTTATAGATATACTTAAAAACTTATCTTTAAGTAATATATATTTGTTAAATAATAAATATAAATAAATCTAAATACACAAAAATACAGTCTTTCCTTTCTTTTCCATTTCGAGTCTACTCTGAATCTAAAAAAAAAAAAAAAAAAAAACATAGTTTTTGAGTAAGGAAAGATTTTAGTATTTAACAAAGTAATAAATTATAAAAAACACTCATTATATGCAATAGTTAACTCAAAGTTTTTACTCAATATGAGTGATTTAACTAAGATCAAGCAACAAACAACTCTGGATAAAGTTAAAAACTCTTTTGAGCAATAAATAAATACCTACAAGAAATTTCCTGTTAATGCAATTGTTGGCGCCATTTTTGTTCAATTAATAAAAATCTTTACAACTTCTTTAAAATCAAAACAATTAATTACTAAATTTACTAATAAAATAACTCAACAATTTAACAATAAGACCTAAATTTTCTTTTCTATAATGAAAACTTATCAAATTACTATTTTTATTTAATAAAAAAACCATTTCAAAAATCAAATTTAAAATTTGATAGTAAAGATGCCTACTTAGGTCTAACCTTTAGCAAGCTAAAAAAAATTATAAAACATAATTATATTATAACAGAAAATTAAAAATTTATAAATGAAATAATTTTTACTTATCTGGTTCATTGTCATTACTAATAAAATAAATATATAATCAATGAAAAACCTTTTATCATTTTTAAAAAAAGATATTTTTTTTGTTTATGCTTAAGTTAAAAATTGTTAAAAACCAAAGTACAATACCTATCTTGGATCTTTTTTTTTGTGTGTGCAGAATATCTGCCTTGATAGACTATAATAAAATATATTTAAAAAGTATAAAAAGTCTTATAATTTTGAAAAAAATATTTTTCTTTTCTTTTTATTCTAAATATAAATAATGAACTTAATGATTAATTATAATACTCATAACTAACTTTTTAACTCTTACACCTTTGAGTGCTTTTTTTTTATCTAAATATAAACAAATATGAACACAAAAATGATATAAATATTTTATAAAAGACATTTTATTAATTAATTCATATATAGTCTTGTGGCATTGAAACGGAAACACTTTTGAAACTTGATTACTTTTTGTACTTGTACTTTTTGTCCTTTTTCCCTATACCCCCCTTGAAAAGGACGTCATAAAATCCTGATTTTAGGGGGGGGGCCCTATTTTTAACTCCAAAAAAATTTATTTTATCTCGCAATGATGTTTGAATCTGCTGCTACACCTTTGAAAAATAAAATTGAAAATATTCTCATACATTATCTTCTTAAAAACACATGTTTACGTAGTTTTCCATGTTAGTTAAACTAAAATAAAAAATCTATAAAGTGACGTCCTTTTCTGACAACCTCCCCCTCCCCTTGTCCTTTTTTGTCCTTTTTAACTCGACCCCCTCCCCCCTATTTGGATGACGTCCTTTATGGATGGCCACTATATATATATATATATATATATATATATATATATATATTATATATATATATATATATATATATATATATATATATATATATATATATATATATATATATATATATATATATATATATATATATATATATATATATATACACATACACATATAAACTAGAATTGGTTATATTTAAATAACGCGCTAGCTAAAAAATTTAAAATTGCTTTTTAATGTGACAAGTTTGTACGTTAAAATTTTATTTTAGCTTTGATAATAAAACCTTTTTCCAACGGAAATTTCCGTGTTTCAAAATTTATTTTAAAAGAAAAAAATTTCCGTTCAATTTTGTTAAATGGGTAGTTTCCCTACAAATAACGGAAAATAATTAAGTACGGGAATTTTTAACAGTGTAGGTGTATGAGTAATTGCTTTATTTCTGATTCGAGTTGAAACTTTTTTCTGAAGAAGATTTTACTTCATCTCCTAAAAAAGTGATCGTTTAGCAATAGTTGCTTAGCACTAGAGCCTGATTATAAATCTTTGTTGTTGTCTAATTCTGACAAAACTAAAATCAGATAAAAAGTACTAAAATAAGTAATAAACAAATTAATTAATAATACTTAATAATATACCACTTAGATAATAGTGCAAAATGTCAATAATTTAAGCAGTTGTTTTAAGTTTCAAGTAATCTTTAGTAGTTTTTGCTATAGCAAAGACTTCTATTATTGATGTAATGATCTAATTTATTAATTATACATTTGTCTTTACAAATAATTGTCTAAAAATAAAATACCTTGAATTGAATTCAATTGGAGCAGTTTTATTTTTAAAGCATTCTCCAACTAACACTCCCTTATTTCATTTTTATGTATATAAAAACTTTTGTGGCTGGATCTAAAAAGCAACATATTTTTGCAGAAGTGGATAACTTCAGTCTTTGGTTAATTTTTTCGGTGCTACATTCCTTTATTTTTTTAATTTCATTCAAATCACACGGATTTATTGCAAGAAACTTTAGTATTTTATGTTTGGCAAAATGGCAAAATCTAAAGAGAGTTACCAGCACTGACCGCGAGGGTTAACAATTCAAATGGTTTAAAAAAATTAACTAATTAAGAAATTAAGGCTTGTTCATCATTATCTAAACAAAGGTCTTCCCTGTTACACTTTTTAAGTAAAATTTCAACAGAACCTAATAGTTGGTTAATTAATTCTATCATAAAGAGAGAACTGTTGGATCTTGTGTGATATTTTAGGCTTTTATTGTGCCGGGATAGCTCAGTTGGTTAAAAAGTTCGGAATAATTATTGGCCGTAGCAGCAGGATTGCAGGTTCAAAACCCGGCTCCGCCTATTCAGCGTATAAGTAGTACTTCGGTACGAAGGGAACGCGTCTCGATTAGCTTTGCTATTACGATGTTTCCTTCTCGACTAGTAAATAAATAATCTAGTCGAGTAAAAGAAAATAATCGTTTAAAATAATTGTTTTAAATCGTTTATGGTGTTTTTTTTATAAAACTATCCTCAAATTTCTCTATACTTGCGCCATCAAAATTTTTTTCTTCAATCATTTTTGAATCATCATAAGTTTGAATGGAAAACTGATGTTCTTTATTGTCAATATCTTTCACTTTAGAAACAATTCGAAGGTTGTGGTACAATTTTCTGTTTCACAATGTGATTTCTCTGCTGACTTAAAGTTCAAGCATGTTAAAATTCTCCTGCATTTTTATGACAAACATTTTGTTTTGTTACAATAACTCATGACATCTCATGTCAATATTAATAGATACGTTGACTGATTTTTTTAAATCGATCAAATGCTAGAATGTTATATATCATTATAAAGCCCTCACATATAGTATTTTAAAGGTGAAATATTATGAAAATTGGACAATTCTATAAAAAGTTATGACGTTTTTAGTGGCAAATTTTCGATATATGGGTTTCTTGATAAAACTGTGGTCAAAAAAATTTTTTTCTCACATAAATTGTTAGAACTTTGCCAATTCTTATTTAAATATCTATAGCATGTCATCAAAAGATAGATATAAAAATGAACTACAATTATAAACTTGTTTTTAGGTAAAGAGGGCATTATGGGATCCGGAGAGGGTGCTAATCCACTACCTTCACCTCACAAAAATACACTTTTTTTTCATAAAAGAGTGTGTTTTTTATATGAAATTGGTAATATTTATGTACAATAAAGTTGTTATTTATTTTATTCTACATCACTAGTCACTATTACAGGTCTACCTTAAAGTTGGGTGTTGGGTAAGTGGTTGGTGAAATAAATAAAGCTTGAGCTGCTTGTTGGGTGGCTGTTTGACCTGACCGGTTGGTAATATTAGTGTTAATAAAAATAAGAATTCATAGAAGTAAATAAAAAAATAAGTACTAAGAATAACTTCTGGAGGCTTTAAGAAAAGTATTTACTTATTATGTAAACTTGAAATTTGCTTCAATATTAAATAATGTGAAATTAATTACAAATATTATGAAGCTATGAACAACAATATAATACATAATATGATATTACATGATATAAAACTCCTGACTGGTTAATATACTCTAAATTTTTATTTCAAATAGTATTTGTCACACAAAAAAACTATCCAACAAACTATCAAAGCAATGTTCTCCTCAATAGCCATTTTTGTATGTGAATTCTAAATCTTATACTTAACAATAAATTTGTGAATAAAGATCAAATAAACAAAATGCTTTCATCCAAATGCTAAAATTTCAAATCAAATATAACTGTTTTAACAATCATTAGCCCCTCCCCTTCCCTCTTACCCTTCCCCCCAAACCCAATTTCCAATTATAGAATTCAGGAAAACAGAACTTAGGTACCAAAACTGCGACACCTTATTTTTCAATGAAATTCGGCAGGTAAAAAGAAAATTAGTTTAGAAAATTTAACAGATAGTTTTAAAAAATAACCGAACTTTTATCTTACTATGAGAACATCAACGAAATTTTCACGAGCATTAAAGTTAATAAATAAGTCTAGTTACCATAGTTACCATACATAAGTTTATATATGTTTCTAAAAAGAAACACAGCAAAAACACGTTTCCCTGATGCTACTAAAAAAAATATTCAAAAAAAGTGTCTTTAGTTTTTGACGTATTTTTTAGCTCCAGATCTCGCGATTTCCGCATACATAATATTAAATGCAAGATATGAGCCAGACAATGTTGTAGAAAAAATTCTTGAATAATGTCTTTGATAAAACTATGACAATTTTCACCATTATGATTTCTAAAGGTAAACATGCAAGAGTAAATATTTTTCTATCTCAGTTATTATTATAAATAAACACTTTAGCCCCATGTAACAATTTTTTTTATACTTGTCAAATAAAAATCGTCAAATAAAATTGATTTTGTTTAAATTTCCCAATACAGATTGCGTTAAAAATTTGTAAATATCAGGTAGAGCAACTTGACTTATAGCAGAACCTGTTGGAAGTTTTAACCCAATATTTTTTTCTAAAAACTTTTTAAATCCCTCATTAACAACATGAGTGAACAGTAGTAGATCTGTTGAAAACCGAAGGACAAGATTGCGACTCCCATCATATTTTGATGAACTAGCTCCAGAATTATTGCACCATTTATGTAAAAGTTGATCATTTTTTAATTCAACAGCTGGTTTGTCTGTTAATATTTTGTGCGTGAGAAATAAATAAATGATTTTTTAAATTATTGCGCAATTTAGAAATTCTAACCTTGTGAATTTTTGAAAATGCCATCCAGCTGAAGACTCGACTTTTTGCTTTTCTATTAAAAAACATTTGTTGCAGTAATAATGTTCACCGTCAATAATATTACAAATTAATATTATTGATAATATAGTAATAATATTTGACCATAGTAGTTCCATACAAATGAAGAATCTTTAGTTTTTCTTTTAATTTTTTTTTTTTTTGTCACTTGTTGGGGTAAAGCTAACGTCGAACCTCGGAGTTCTGAGCCAGAACTCTCATCATATTCTCTCATATTCTAAAGAAGTATCTAAAGCATGTAAAATGTGATATTTTATTAGGAGGAACGCTTCGCAACTATTTCTCTCCCTCACTGCAAGAATTTATTTATTAAGCAAATTTAAGACCTTGTGCAACATGAAAAAAAGCTACAAAAAAGTTATTGTTTCTGTTAAGTCACACATGAGAATTTTTGTTTACTTAGCTCTCTATTTTTTCAGCCAACAAGAGCGACTTTGAAACCGGCTGTGGTTGATTACATTGTTTGATTGGTGGCATAATAGTTGCTAATAATACAAAGTGGCGGCAGTAAAAGTAGGTTTAAGTAGCAGCGGCATCTCGTTGATGGCGGCAGCTTTAACCTATACGCATAGTAGTTAAAATAATATTTTGTACGCGTAATACATAAATGAACTGTTTTGAATATACTTTTTTTTACACGAATTTGACCTCAAAATGAAAAAATCAAACTTGCACAGTTGTTTCAAAATAATGTTTGAAACTGCATTGAATCGTTAAATAAAATCTAAAGACAATTCAAGTTTCGATCATTTATAGACTTTTGGTGGTTCTACTTTTTTTTTAGTTATGTAAATGTATATGACAAAAATATACAATTACTTTTTTTTTAATTATTAATTAAAAAAAAAGTAACTACTGTATATTTTTATCATATACATTTACATAACTAAAAACCACCTAAAGTGATAATTAATAATTAATAATTAAAAACATCAATTAACATCTGCCACCTTAAGGTAGATGTTATTTGATGTTTTTTCAATTATTACTTACGACTTTAAAGGGATAGATGATAATTAAAAAATGATTTAAGGAAGTAGGTGGTAGTTAAAAAAAAAAAACTTTCATTCATAAAAAATTGAGATGACTACGACTTTTTTCCAAATTGTTTGTTTAAAAACTGCCGAGAAAAGTTAAATAAAATATTATTGTCCGGACTATTAAGAGATTATATCTTTCTTGGAAAAAAAATAAGCAAACTAAGACATTCGCTGTCCATCAATTAGTTTAATTGAGCTTTAACTCTCATCTAGAAGTAACTTATGTAAGCTCTCTGCCCTCTCAATCCGGAACCGTTAATACAATTTTTTGTGTTTGTTCAATATTAAAAAAAATCGACATTTGAAGTTAAGGTGGTAGTACCCCAAAAGACAGGCTAAAAAATTTTTTTTTTCAAAATTTCAGTTTTTACAATTTTCATTAATTTATCGTATCTTCTCTTAAAATAATAAAAAAAATTAAAAAAAAAAAATAATTCAAACGCCTAAATTATCCTTAATAGATTTGGTACAGGAAAATAAAGTGCCCTAGCAACGGCCCTTAGAGATATATTTCTTGCAATATCTTGAGAAATATATGTCCAATTTATGTAGTTTTTGTGTGTGCTTATCTTCGACCATATAAACTGAGTTTATATGGTCGAAGGTGCTTATGACTAAATTGTTCCTTAAGAACTCTTGTTGGTTTTCGATCTAATATCCATAAATTAAAACCTCATATTCGTTTCTGTAAGATATAGATAATTACTCTTTAACAAAATGTTTTTTCATTGATGAGTTGTTTTTGATTCTTGCGGCGAAAAAACCACGTGATCAATGCGTAATGAAAAACAAAAATATCTACCATTATGATATGGGGGCAAACAAACGCGCTGATTTCAGTACAACATTACTTAAACGCCTTGAAAATGTCTTATGATTATCAAGAAAAGTTATCTAAATAAGCTGCTGAACGTTATTAGAACAAAATTTGGCGGACTTTAAAACGGCGCACCCCAAACTCGGTAAACAACGAAAGCTTTTGTTACGAAAATTCTCGGTAAATATACTGAGTATTTTGCAGAATGGAAAAACCGCGCCGTTACGACAAGTGCCAAAATGGTTTCCTCGAAAGAAAAAAAACAAACTTTTAAAAAAACCCTTTTTTCAAAACTTTAATTTAAATATTTACAAACCATATATAAACATTTAAAATTATAAAACTAAAACATTTACACCTATACTACTGATATTAGAATTAAAATAAGTAGAAGTTCTTTTTAAGGCTTTATTATTTTAAGTAAGGTTTTACTATTTTACAAAAGCTTACTTGAGAAATGTTTTGTAATAAGTTAAAAATTTACAAAAAACATTTGAAAAAAATTTATGTATAGGTGTTAACAGTTTCAAATCTCAAATAAATTATTACAATATATTATTGCTTTTCAAAATAAATGTTCTGATATTCTTCAGTTTACTTTTCTTTCATAAACTTTTTTTAATTCATCATCTTTCAATCTTCAAATATCTTTTTTCTTAATCTCATTGTTTTAAGCTTTTCCTCAATGTATATTCTTCTCATCATAAGTATGTGTATCTTCTTGTCATCAGTGTAACACAGTATGTGATCATTTGAGAAAATTTGAGTATTCGCTCTAAAAATTCATAAAATAAATTCATAAATTAAAATAGAATTAAAATATTAATGTGTAATTCAAAGACGATATTTATCGTGAATATGACCCTGGAACATATTGAAATTTTGCCATAAATCTTTATTTATAAACTCATAATATTCCCTATATACTGCCTCATCCAACCTAGACCATTTCATATCACCTTGATAACCAAAAACAAACTTTAATTTAAACTTCATCCTATACCAAAAAGACTCAATGTGGTTTATTGTTGTCCCTGTTTCAGGGTCAACAAAGTTTGTGGTATGGTTATTAGTTGAATGAATATAGCCTAAGTTGCTTAAATTATTGTACGAAGCCTATTTATCTGATTGTATAGTTGAACCAGGAGCAATCAAAGTTTGAATCAAAGGTACTAATGTATTTGCAGTGCAATCCTCTACCCTAACCAAATACCCTTTTTTATTTGTTTTATCATAAGCCCTGAAAAGCCAATACTTTTTAACGTTGTGACCCACATTATACTTGCGTCTGAAAAATAAAGATTCATTAATTTAAACTATGTGTCCTGGACCTCCTAGCTGGTTTACAGGTGCAACATCTAAAACTTTGAATGAGCAGATGTCTCTGATACCATTGAACTGGTTGGTTGGCTTATCCCTACTAATTCAGCAGCAGCAGCAGTAACAGGGACCTCTGAAACCCATAACAACATAAGTTTAAGTATATCACTTACACTTAAAGATGTTGAACATTCAAAAAAACCACTTCGTGTTTTTGTCTTCTTACAGCTGCTGCATCGCCAAATGTGTTTATCCTTAAAGAAAAAAAGCATCAGAAAAAGTTTAAACAAAATCCAATTAAACAGGATTAGATTTTAGGAAAGTAATTTAATCCTTTATAAGGATTAATAACTCATAATAATATTATAACTCATTTGATAACATAATAACATAATAACTCATGATTCATAATCATAATCAATAATCATAATAACATAATAACTCGTTTGAACTCATAATAACATAATAACTCATTTGATATTTAATATAAGCCAAGTCTAATCAGATTAGTATTTAAAATGTAAACAAGCTAAAGTTTTATTTAAGTTATTACTTTCTTTTATAAAGCCCTTATGATATAATACTATGAAACATATGATTAAATATGATATTTACTTACTAGACACCGCTCAAATCTTTGAATTGACCACAGATACAAGATTTGCGAACATGGATTAGTCTGTTTTGATGGAGAAAATTTATTAGCCTTTTTTCTTTAATGCTTTCAATAAATTCTGCCAAAGAAGTAGTCTTGCTTGAAGTTGTCGTGTACTGAAAAGTTGAAAACGTGCATAAGTCTAATTTAATTTATTAGCCAATGAAAATCGACTTTTAATTTTCGTAACGAAAATTTTCGTTGTTTACCGAGTTTGGGGTGCGCCGTTTTAAAGTCCGCCCAAAATTTAACGTTATATTGAAATAAATCTGTCCAAATGCTTTTAGGAATCATGGAATTCAATTAATTCATCATTTTGAAATTATTGCCAGTTTACAGATGTAGTCAATAAATAAAACAAAAATATTACATATTGATATTCTAATAACATTTAAAAATTCTATATTTTGCTTAAAATTTTCCTCAGTGTAATATTTATTCCTCATGTTTTTAATATATGTGAAATAAATGTTATAAATAAAAATATTTTTTACAGTATAATAATGAAATGATCAAAATTACTAATTACAACAATTTGAATTATAACATCGTAACAATATTTATAAAGTTTTTTAGTAAATGGTATGAGGATTAACAATATAATGTCTTGGCTTTTAAAAAATAATATAAATGACTTTTTATCTTCATTCACGAAGGTACTCTCTAAAACCAGTGACAACAGCAGAAACTCTACTAAAGAAAACGGAACCAATTTATGCTGAAAGCATTTACAAATTAATGTCTTATGTATCATGTTGACATAAAAAATAAAAATTCAAAAATTTTTATTTTTCATGTTAACATGATACATAAGACATTAATTAAATAAAATTTTTTAAAAATATAAATAAATGAATAATAAAGAAGAAACTTACTTTGTAAGATTGTTTTTGTGATCTAAGAACAATCCTAAAGATTAAAAATGACAACATTAAAAGTATGTTTTACTTTAAAACATGTTTCTTGCCTATTAGTTAATGATTAGAAGTGACGAGTTTAAGTAAAAAAACTATCTAATAATCATTTGTAGCAAGAGACACCAACGAGAAGGTAAGCAAAGTTATCTATCAACACAAAACATTACAACAATAACATCACAATAATAACACAATAAAACAAAATAAAATTATACACATGACTTACAAGTGAATCAACACCGCACTAGAGGTTGAAACAGAACACAAACACACATAATGTCTTAAGGGTGAGCCAACATGACACCAGAGGTCGCCACAGAACATAAACACATATATATTGACTTATGAGTGAGCCAACATACACATAATCACTTACCTAGCTAATGCTGCATTATTTTTAAACTACCATCATTCTCATGTTGTTTCATGTTGGTTCAAGACACTAACATCTTCCACTCCAGTCAACGAATTGTCAGTACTTATTTGTTCACTGACTTTAATAACTTGAGATTTATTGCAATGACTTTTTTGTACATAATATTCTAAAAAAATATTAGCATGTTTGAGGTATATAGTAAATACAAAATTTGTGCTCAACAAGCTATTGAACATTAATTTATTTAAAAATAAAAACAATAATACATGATTTATAAAAGCATAGTTTTAATGGATTAATATTTATATATACAATTTATTTTTGTTATGCATCAATGTATAACAAAAATAAATTGTAACTATTATATAAACAGTTTTTACAAAAACATTTTAAACAACAAGATAAACTATATTATATAGTTTATCGTGTTGTTTATACAGTACATACCAATATTATATAGTATATACTAAGTGAATTGTTTAATCTATTTATTCTCCTTTCATTTCACATAACAATTGGTTATGTTGGAGGGATGATTTCACTATATATTTTTTTAGCACCTAACATATTTACTGATGGAATATAGTCAACATGCTTTTCAAAATTTTGAAAAGCATCTAGACTATGTTCTTTTTTTTCCTAAAAGAGAAACATACTTACATTGAATAAAAGTATATAGACGAAAAAAACTTAATAAGTTCAAGAAAAATTTGTGCTCAAATATTTTGACGATTTAAATACAAAACTTACCAAATACAAGACATGTTTTGCGACCAAAGTTTGTTTGCAAGATGAATCAATTCTATATAAAGCATAAAACCACGATTTTCTTCTCTTTGGATTAGGAAGCAAAATATAAAAAATCAAGTTCGGATGACTATTAACATTAATTGAACAATCAAAAACACATTTCTCTATTTTCAAGCGCTTTGTTTGCCCCCATACCATAATGGTAGCCGTTTAGTTAGTTAAAGTGACGTCACGTTCGCCGCAAGGATAAGTTTCCTTATAAATGCGTTCAAAAAAATAGATATGCTAAAGCAAGAGTAAAAAAAAGAAAACTTCATAAATTAAAAAAATATTCTCTAAATAATTCACATGCTTTACAACAAACTGTTTTGTCTGCACTTTCACCAAACAATGTAAGTTAATTGGTATCTGGAAAAAAAAACTTATCTAGATCATCTAGATCTTTTTCTATATTATAAAGTTTTCCACATCTAGTAGATGTGGAAAACTTTATAATATAGAAAAAGAGTGTAATACAATTATAAACTTATATTTATTTTCAAGTTTGTTGAAGGCAATTGAAAGATGCTCTAGAATGTTATTCGTCAATCAATATTGTACACGATATTTATCAAAAAGAGATTCTTTCTCACACTTCTTGTCAAGATTTTACATGAACGATAAATTTTTTAACTTCAAAATGAATAGAAAATAAAAATGAAGTAATCAAAGGTAAAAAAGGAGAGAAGTTAACCTATGTACTGTGTTAGCTTTTCGAGATATTGGGCAAGGATACATAGCAATTATTACTTTTTGTTATTTAATGAATATGTCTTTTGGTATGACAAAACGTGGTTACCATAATATTAATAATAAACTTCCTGTTGCTTATTTTGAAACCTCTAGAGTGAGTACAAACAGAACATACGTAATGAAAAACTTTTGAAATTGAAAATTAGGATGAATCATCAACTGTCAGTGTTGCTGTTAGTTTAGATGGTTCATCATGGCTCCATAGATGGTTCAGCACAGAAGAAACTTCTCAATAAATAGTATAGTCACAGCAATATCTCATGGAAATTGTATTGATGCTGTTGCTGAAACAAAAAATTGTTACCCCTGTAAGATATGTTTAAGAAGAGAGGTATTCCAGCTTACGAGAACTGGAAGATCACACATTAATCATAAAGTAGCTCAGGAAGTAGTTTATGGAGCTAAGTAATAAAAAACACCTGACATATAAAAGATTATTGATTAAATATCTAATTAAACTACTGTTAATAGAACGTGAACCTCTCAACATGATGTTTGGTAAAGATTAATAATAATTTTAAACATTCTTGGGTTAAAGACTTGTTTTTGTACCAAGTAAAAATTTTTAGGCGATCTACAAATATTCAACCGATCTGTTAAAGAGCTTAAAAGTACATGAAATACATTGCTGATGGAGATACCAATTCTTATATGCAAGTTTGTGATGCAAATTCATACAAAGAAGAAATTATTTAGAAATAGTTCTTGGCAATGATGTGTTGCTCAAGAAAGGTTTACATGGTTAAACTCAAAATGTTAATGAATTGCTAGATGAGATGGTTTGGACTCGCGCACTCAAAAGAGTTCATGTGGAAAGAACAGTTAATGAGATTTGGCCTATACAATAATTAGCTTTATTAATGGAGTTCAGGGTTTACTACCAGCATTTGAATAATGTAATGTTTTGCCTGGATATTTTACAACTAAAAGTTCTCTAAATGTAGATTATGTACACATTAAACAGGATGAGATAAAAAGTACAGGTGCCACAAAAAACAGGAGGAAAAAGTTAGGGGCCATTAAAAAAGGCTTTATTGACTAACATAATGAAGCAGAAGATGTTGATTACAACAGTGGTGGTTTTTAGTAGGTTTGATTGTGTAAAAAAACTTAATGTGCTTTTAGTATTTTTTTAAATTGCATTTTTCTTGTGTTTAACTTTTTGTGTATCTTTTAATTTTTTAACAAAGATAACTTTTTAACTGCTCATTGAATTTTTGTCAAATTTTCAGCAATTATTCTTGAATGTATTTGTAATGTGCTGAACCAAAGAAAATTAACTTTTTTTTATATTAAAGTATTAAAATTTGTACTTTAGCAAGCTGTACTTATACTTTTTTCTTTTTATTGATAAAATATAATGATTTTAAAGTTATTAAATATTGTTTATTATATAATTTTTAATTCAGCACATTTTTTGAACATATATAAAACTACTTACAAAATTTGGTTTGTAGAACATGTATGGTTCTCAAGATATTCTTGTTAAAAAAAGGTCAATTTTTTTGCCTAAATTTTGCTAATTTATACGCATAATTATTGAGCAGGAGGGTAAAAAAAAATAATTTTGTTATTTTTTAAAATAATTTAATCTAACATTTCAGAAAAACATAAATGTTTCCATATAATATCAAGTTTTAAATTTTTTTACTCTTAAAGGGTACTACCACCTTAAATTATAAAATTTAAAAAAAACAAAAAAAAACCAGTCTAGTTTGTTTTATGTTCCATTTGTTCAACCATTTATTTTGTCATCTCTAACTCCTCAGAGCCTAAACGGTTCAAAACATCTTTTGATGCCTTAGTGAAAGAATTGATTTTAATACTCAAAAAATCATTGTTAATAAGATATCTATGAAAAAAATGTGTATAAACAAGTATTTGTGACGTATATAAGCCACTTTTGAATTAATTCAGCTTAAACTTTAAATACTTTTATATCATTTTTGACGCAGTTCGGAATAAATTATAGTCATATAAATTAAATAGGATTAAAGTTATAAAAATCTAAACATGTTAAACCTTCAGTTTCCGTAAAAGCTTTTTAGTAAATTGTTGAGTCAGTAAATTGTTTATTATTTTGAAATCAATTATCTGGAATTCTAACCAAAAAAAATTTAAAGATTTAAAAAATTTTATAATAATATTTCTTGCATTTATGTAGGTTTTTGTAAACAAATTTACTTCTCCTCCAGTGACGGATCTAGAAAATTTTGGTTGATGTTGATACCAAAGCTCAAATAAAGAAATTCTTAAATTGACAAAAAGGACTTTTTACTTTGTTATTTTATGAAACACTTTTTTTTTTTTAAGTTTATTTCGCCTTATTGAGGAGAGTGGGGTAATGGCGAACGCGGGGTAACTCCAAACATGGTCAAAAAACAGGATTGACTTTACCAAGTTCGGTAACTCCAAATGGTAAAATCAATCCTGTTTATAAAAATGGATATTGCAATAATATGTCTAACTACCGTCCAATTTCCCTCCTTAACAGTGTTCTCTTTGGTTTATGAAAAAGTAATATTCAATCGAATTTGTAATTACTTGAAGTTTCAAAAAAGTTGTTCAACGGAGCATGTTCTTATTGAACTTACTAATAAAATATTTCAATTTTTTGATAAAGGAGATCATGTACTGTGAGTATTTATAGATCTTTCAAATGCATTTGATACAGTCGACCACAACATCGTGGTCACATCACAACATCTTATTATCAAAATTAAAGCATTATGGTATTAAAGGACTAATGTAAAAATGGATAAAAAACTATCTGAGTAACAGAGAGCAGTTTGTAATAAACAAATAATCAAGTGTTCTTGATATTGAGTATGGGGTCCCTCAAGACTCAATCTTAGGACCGTTACAATTTTTAATTTACATTTATCTAAAGATGATGCTTTATGTATATCTAAGATATGCATAAAGCATTATCTTTTTGCTGATAACACAACTTTGTTTTAAAATCATAGCAATTTAAATTCAATGATCGGAACAATGAATACTGGTCTGAAACTAAGATGGGATCCCCTCACAGCAGGTAAAAAGAAATCGTCAAATTTATTTTTCTATAACGCTGTTTTTTGTTGTTTTTTTTATTTATATTTTTTTCTTCTCCAGTTATACCATATATATATGGTATAACTGGAGAAGAAAAAAAATGCTAATTGTAACAACTAAATAAAATGCTAATTGTAACAACTAAGTGCAAAAATTATACTATGCAACAACAACAACAAAAAAGGAGTGGTTTTATATCCATAGAAGCTACAACAGAATGTTACTCAAGAAAAAATGTGCATAAAATTATCAGAAAAAGTTAAAATCAAATTATAGTGAACAGCAATCGCAGCTTCGTTACACTAGTCTCCAGTTATACCATATATATATGGTATAACTGGAGAAGAAAAAAATATAAATAAAAAAAACAACAAAAAACAGCGTTATAGAAAAATAAATTTGACGATTTCTTTTTACCTGCTGTGAGGGAATCCCATCTCAGTTTCAGACCTGCAATAGTGTAACGAAGCTGCGATTGCTGTTCACTATAATTTGATTTTAACTTTTTTCTGATAATTTTATGCACATTTTTTCTTGAGTAACATTCTGTTGTAGCTTCTATGGATATAAAACCACTCCTTTTTTGTTGTTGTTGTTGCATAGTACAATTTTTGCACTTAGTTGTTACAATTAGCATTTTATTCGAAGAGGACGTAATGTCTTATCACCGAGCACCATTTTTGTTAAATCGTAATTTAAAAATTTTTGTTATAATTCGAAAATATACAAAATAGAAGATAATATATCGTATTGTTTTATATAAGTTTTAATACACAAAATAGCAAATATTAATTGCTAAACTGCTTACATTTTTTACAGTAGCAAAAAAAAAAAAAACAGATATTGAAGACATACCATTCTGAGAAAGAGGGAATACCATTAATAAACTTTGTTATATGGGTTTTGATAATAAATTTCTTTTTTTTTAATTTATTTTAAAATTTTATATTTGATTTTAACTTTATTTAAATGAAACATTTAAAATCAATAATAGTGTTATCCATAAATAAGAAGAACCGTTTTTTTTTTTTTTAAATAGATCAAGAGAGGATATTTTTTTATTAGCTATGTTTGAAAATGTTTTCCATAGATATTTTATTAGAAATATATTTTTATATCGAAAAAATGTTGAATCAACGAGAAAAAATATCATAAACATAGAACATCTAAAGCTTAAAAAAAATTATTTCCGTCGGTTACATTTTCAAAAAAAAATACTTACTTAAAAAAAAAATACCTATTGCAATAATATGGAAACAAGTACAATTGAATTTTAAGCGCACCTTTTAACTCGTACCAAGATCCTTTTAACTCTATTTTTGATTTTTTAACAAAATTAAGGTATTTGAGTTTCCAAAATACTCCATTACTACAATATTAAGTTTCAAAAACAAAATTAGCAAATAAACGGTTGTTATATAAAACGTTCTCTATAGTTATTAAGGCTGTCGAAGTGTATCCGGGCACACAGGTACCCGCCCGGTGCTTACTGCCCGGGTAACATAGTTAAATGACGGGTAACCATCGCTTGATAAGTTTAAAATTCATTTCTTTCATTTTTTTAAAGTTTAAAATCATTAATCGTCATATATCAAACTATGATTGTGATAAAGAAATCGTATCAACTATTTTGTTGATTTTTGATTGTTTAATTTGTCTTTCGGACAAAATTCTTTTAAAACCTGGAAAATGGAAGGTATATATATATATATATGCTAATTTAGCGCGCAACTTAAAGTTGCGCGCTAAGATATATATATATATATATATATATATATATATATATATATATATATATATATATCATAAATGCAACTTCACATCAAATGCACCCAAAATTGTAGACATGCTAGTATTTCTAAACCGTAATTAGTACTTATTTTACCTAGACACTTCAAGTAAAAAAACGATAAAATAAAATGAAAAAGAATAATTCTAAATAAATGGCATCATTAAAGGAAAAGTTTTTGTTGACATTTTATAAGAACAACTTTTACAAAAGTATTGTTTTTTTAACGGTTACCCACCAGTTCATTTGACGCGTACTCTGGCTGACATTTTTACAATTTTTAGACTTATTAGTTAAGTACCGCAGTAATTTTAAAAGTAAGAAAATTTTTCGTATTTTCTTATGTATGAGTACCTAAACAAAGGCGCTTGTAAATAACCATGCCCTCCTCTTCCGCTTATTAGAGAGAAAAAATGTTTTGTGCTGTTCTTTTGTTTCACTGTTAACTAAATCTTTTTTCTATTTGATAATTTTTTAATTTATATTTTAAGTTTCAGATTATCTTATTGTTAAAATGTGATTAAAGGTATAAGGAGTCCTCGGACGACAGTCTTCAGATGGTATTGCAATATTCATAGTTTAAAAATGGAAAATTGTTAAATAATACAAGTGTCGAATTATGAATGTAAAACATTTTCGCATAAAAATTCATAATAGGGTTAATAAAGTTATAAGAATATATAAAACTCAAAATAGAGCATAGTGGAAATCAACCACTAGTAAATTATTTTTCTGACATAAACAATTGTTATATTCCCTCCCCTCTTCGTGCGGATTTTAGGAATAGTTCAAAGGATGATGTCCAACGTCTATGACAAGCTCTAGTAAAAGCTATAGCTATATAAAAGAATTCGCGTTATTAAATATAGAGAATCGCAAGACTCTAAAATCAGATTAGAACAGCTTTGGCAACCCACACAACTATAATTTTATTCCTTTTATAAAAAACACAATTTTAGCTAGATATTTATCACTAACACTACCAATTCATGTTTTAGAAATAACAGTTACAATACATTGGTACAAAACCATTTAAAAATTTATCAGTATTGAGGTGTTTATTAAAAAAAGCATTTGTCACTTGCTGACGCATTTAACTCTATAGTCTATACTCAACTATTACATATAAAACATTGTTTTTAGAATGAAACGGATGAACCTGTTGCGCTACTTGCATTATAACAATTTGCTAAATTATTTGACGTTATATTTAGCTGAAGACGCATCAAAGTCAGTAAACAATATAAAGCATTGCCAATGTTATTATGTAATCATATTCTATTGTCATGGTAACAATGATTTTTTGTTATGATTTTTTTTAGTAAATATGCGTTTATAAAAAAGAATGGAGCAACCTTCTTTTATTGGGGTGTTATACAATTCCAAAAATACCTTACAAAAGATACCTTCTCTATTTAATGATTTGAATGTAGTTTTTTTTTTTTTTAATTTCGCTTACATTAAAATATCACAGTAAAATACAATTGTATGCCGTTTACATATGGTGTTACAATTAAAAAATTCCAATACCAGTATAATTTAAATAAGAAAAACACTCACATATAAATATAAGCTTATATACACTTACAGATGAATAGATGTACATATATATAAATTAAAATAAGCTAGGATCTGAATGAAGATCACAAGATCTTGTCGTCAGAACCTTATAAAATACAAGCAAGCAAAAAAAGTCAAGTTTAACATACAAAAAATAAAGTAAAATTAAAAAATAAAAAGTAATAAAACCCAAGTCAAATAACAATTTTCAAAATATCAGAAGTATCTAAGTATATTATCAAGTGAAAAAATTTTTTAAGATAGAGCTTGAAAAGGAAGTTGGTTGATCGAGATTTCGCAGAACAATATTATTCCATAGGTGGGGTCCACGATAAGCAATGCAAAATTGATTTTATTTGATCGTATTTGTTGTTTGGTTTGAGTTTGAAAATATTATTGAAAGCGGTAGGGGATAAA